GGACTTGTAATTGGATTCCAAATTAAAGGCATGTGGGGATTGATTTTATATAGATAAAATTCGGCAATTGGGCTCGGAATTGGGGCAGAATTTAATTTGGTTTTTGAGTCAAATTAGGTGGCTGGAATAGGAGAAAAGGCATAGGGTTGTCTACTATATATATATTGAACACACAGAAAAAAATTGGGGGGGGCGGGGGGGGGGGGGGGTCCATTGGTAGCGACTGATGTAGCGGAGGAGAGAAAAAGGACGGCTGCTTGGTATTTATTGGAGGGACACAAAGGGGAAGACGCCGGCTCCTGTTGGAGTAAACAAGGTGGTAGTTTGGGGAAATATATACACACATACGGAGTCAGAAATTTTGTCCAGTGCGAGCAAAATTTAATCAAGGTTGAATTTTTCAGTTATGAATTTAATGAGATTATGACAATACTAAAAATGATATAGTGACAACACTAATAAAATAATCATCTTCTTCCTTATTTTAGGATTTGTATCGAGTTGTGCAACATCAAAATCAATTTTATTCGTTATCTCCTCATCAATATTTTTTACAAAATATTTCCTTTTAAAGAATCTCTTCATTGGCGCTTGACACTAAAATAAATCACAAGTGACAATTAGATACTAATTGATAAGAAAATAACTACTAATTTTCACAAATTGGCAGATACTAGAAAATCATCACTAATTGTTTAGCTAATTGACGGAAATCAAGATTTCAAGAATTCATCGTAAATATTACCAATATTCAACATTCACATAATCAAAATACCTAATATTAAATAGAAAAATCACATGATCAAGAAAGTTTTTGTTGCAAATTTGAGGGCCCAAGAAAATGTGGGTTTTTGAAAAGAGATGAATTTTTTTTTTTTCAAAATGAGGGTAGATTAAAAGAAAATTTTTAATTTCTTATCTCGGGGAAAGAGTAAAAAAATGTCACCATGTACTTGGAGTTTGGACAAATTAGTGTACGGACTGGACTATAAATAAATGAAAAACCTAAATAAAAAAAAAATAAAAAAATTAGATTGATTTTGGGCTTGGGCCAAAGGTCGAGTGCGGGCATTTGCCCACACTGGACCTTGAATGGCTCCGCCCATGCACCCGTAACCGGGCTTCTTTTGAGGAGAAATAGAGTTAATGTTGGGTAGTTAAATAGGGTGGCTTCTTGTGAGTTAAAGAGGGGCTGAATTTATATATCTTCTTGGGGAGAAAATCGACGGCTGGGGGGTCATCATACATACACACAAGCTGCTAAATTTGGGCAGAAAAAAGGCTTAAGCTATTGGGAAAGGAGGCAAAGAAAAAGGGTCGCTGTGGCTGATTTTTTTGTTCAATTATTCATCAATAATCGTGCAAGGAACTTACAAATTAATCATGTTTCATAGATTCCTGGTGATTTCTTCCCACTTTTATGTGTTTTATCCCAACATTATGCTAGGATAATTTCTTCTCATGTATTGGATGGATGACATAGTTTTAATTCGATACCTGTGTTTTTATTTTAACTCTTATGTTGTGATTCCATTAATATGCCTATTTACCTTGTTTTAATGTTTGCATACCATGAGGACAATAAGTTGCTTATTCGTAGTGTTGAAAAACTCACGATAAGTAGAACACTAGTATTGGAACACACGGATAATAAAAGTTAGGAATAATATTTGTGGAGATTTTATGTGATAATCCTAAATATCAATTGATAGGAATGTAAAATGTCATATTTTTCATTCCTTTACCTTATGCCTTGTGAGTAATTAATGCCTAAATATACTGAGTAGTCTTATATTTTGATTTATGTTGCAAATGGACAATGATGGCATAAACTAGAAGAAAAGAGCGAAAAATGACTAAAGTGAAAGAAATCAAAAGTTTGAATCGGAAGGCAAAACGAATGAGTGAAATATTTGAAGGTCAATTGATGGAAGACTCAAAGCGTTGGAAGAAAGAAAACAAGAAAAGAAGCTAAGAAAAGAGAAGGTGAAAGTTCAGGGATCAAAGTGCAACAATTGAAATTATTTTATATTGCGTTCGTATGGGCTTAAAGTGGCGCATGGGCGAGACTTTATTCTTGCATACTGAGAGTAAAACAATAAAGTGGCGCCTGAGCGCGGGCTAAAATTTCTGTGATGAGCCAGTTTCCTTATTTTGATGAAATTCTACATGTAAACAATATTTTTTGACATCATATATATACCTAAAGATGCCAGAGCGAGGGGAACCTCCTTTTTGACCTAAAACTCTTATACTCTACGTATAATTGGAGGCGAAGAACGGACCATAGATTTGTCTCTCTTTTTGCTTAAGGATTATTGATGTATTGCTAAATTTCATCTCTTGGTCGAAGGATAGAAAAGCCTAGGAACGATTCAAACCGTGAGATTTAAATAAATTTCATTATTTTCATTCATATCTTATGTATTGAATATTCTTCTATGCATGATTTCATGGTTGTTATATTTGAATTCTAAGAGGCCTATTAGATATTCATGTATCACAATCTATTGATTGTTTAAAGAACAAATATGTAATTGTTTGATATCTTTGACATTATGAAGCAACTGAAGTTTGATTAATCGTTGCTTTAGAGGTTATTAAATTCTAGGAAGGATGTTTGACTAGATTAAACATAACTGCTTGTAATTGTGTTGTTTAGTTTCATCGATTTCTCTAGTTTCCAATGCTATTATTGAATTAAATTTTAAAGTGCTTATCTTGGGGTTATTTAATAATAAAGATTGATTGGATCGCTTGTTTTTCGATTAATTACAATTAAGGAGAAATAGAAAAAATAAATTCAAGCGATGAATGCAAAAATATGAATTGATAATCATTCATAGATCGATGATCAGTTTGAAATTCCTACAATAGATATTGACTTAGACCAATGTCCGTTCTATTGATTTAACCCAATTTATTAAATTGCATTGTTTTTAGTTAGAATTGATTTCATCACAAACAAAACCCCCAGTTAGTGTTAACATTGCATAAAATTAGACTAGTCATTCTTCGTGAAAACGATCCTTACTTCCATTACTAAATACATTTTTGGAAGTGTAGGTTTTATTATTTTTGGGTGCCTGTGACAGCACGCCATCAGTGCATGTTTGCCATATGAATTTAGACTAGGAATATGATAGTCTCGTGACAGTTATAAGTTTATTATATCTTGGGAAAGAATAATAAATAAAAGTGGAACTATCAATCGTCACAATTGCATGAATTGAGATAATTATTAATGGTTGAGAATTAGAACTAAAAATTGATCAATGCCGTTAGAAATCCAATACGTTCACACAATTGATTTTTAAACCAACTTTCATTGTTTCACAAGTTTTAGTTATAACAATTCGTTAGCTAGTCATTCGATCGTTTTTTGTTACAAACACGAATTTAAATATATCAAATATACTAGAATTGATCCTTATTCCCTATGAGACGATAACTTTCTCATTACACTACACCAAAAATGGTCTATTGCAACACATAAAAGGCAACATTCGATAGTTAAGTGTCTCGCTAAAAGGGTCTATTGCAACATTTGAATAAGTGAATGTTGCAATTAGTCATTGTTATTGAGTTTTAGCAACATTTTTAAAATAAATGTTGCCAATGATACTTTCCGCAACTTTTTTGGACTTTTCGCAACGTTTTTTAAACGTTGCAAAAGATATTTTTCGCAACGTTTTTTTAAACATTGCAAAAGATAGACTTTTCGCAACGTTTCTTAAACGTTGCCGAAGGTTGACTTTGTTGCAACATTTTTTAAATGTTGCAAAAGATACCTTTCGCAATGTTTTTTTAAACGTTGTAAAAGGTAGACTTTTCGCAACGTTTTTTAAACGTTGCCAAAGGTAGACTTTTTGCAACATTTTTTAAACATTGTAAAGAATAACCTACTAGGCTAGCAGTCCTTTAATGGGGGGGTTTTTTTTTTTTTTGGATTGTTGGGCCTTTCAATTTAGAAGCTTAAGAGAAAAACGTTGCAGGCCTTAACTCCCATCTCAATGTCACCTTGCCATTCTCCACGCCTCAGTCTCGCACCTCTGCCTCTTGTCGCCTTCAACTACCACAACTAGAGGTGGGCAAAACCCAACCTAACTGATGTAGATCGAATCTACAAACATAGGATACTAATAACTCAAGCCGATTAAACGCAAGAAACAGACGTTTTTCTTATTTCATAAACAACCAAAAACACACTATACTAATAAGTCATGATGCTTTCATAAGATTTACGTTCCCAAATTGGCTTTACCGACGCTTCACATTCCAGCATTTTGCAGTAATGCAGGTTTCTATTATTTAGACCATACCCAATTAGTTATTTTAAAATGTCGACAGACCATAGCCCACTAACCTAAATCTGTAGCCCAATAATACCAATAGTCATTACCCATTTATGATTGGGGAACTTACAAAAATACCCTTAAAATTATGGGTGTGTTGAAAAATCATATGAAATGTTTTTTGGAAGTAAAAAATACTGTGTGAAATTAAAAAGTGACCCAATGTCACTTTTTTATGAAAATCATGTCACTTTTTCTAAAAAAGGGCAACACAATATTACTTTTAAAAGTTTAGTATCACTTTTTATTAAAAAATTATATAAAATGTCACTTTTATTAAAAAGTGATATTTGTCGCTAAAAAAAAGTGACGAAAATTTCAAAAAGACTATTGAAAAAAAGTGACAAACACTTTAAAAAAAAAAAAAAGTGACTAAAATTCATAAAAAGTGACAATTATTAAAAAAAAAAAAGTGACGGAAATTTTAAAAAAAGTGACACAAATTAAAAAAGTTAAATAGATTCAAAATGAGTGACAGAAAAAAAGAAACAAACACCGAAAAAGTTACAAAATTCCAAAAAGTGACACTGATGATTGCACCGTATTTATAAGAGGCATCTTCAAACCACGTGCAGCTAAAACCCGTATCATTACTTGGTGTAATATAGTGTCTAGTCCATCGACATTCAATCTAAACATTGCATAGTATAGGATTCTGTTCCCATTTGCTGGTCTGAAAATCCAAACAATAGTGAGGGCTGAAAAATTTCCAGCACTGGCATAATCTCAATGCCATTGACAAAAGCAAAAAGGTCATTGTATGTGGATGACATTGTCAATGTGAGATTGAGGATACTGGATTTTGTCGTCATCATAGTGAAATCTCTAACTATATAAGCCTATGTAAGTGCTTGAGTAGTAATGGATGCACTGAAATTGTTAAGAATGAAATTACTTGTAGTTACAAAGAAAAAACTTAGGAGCGATCAAAGAAAATGTAAGACGATGGGTAAAATGAAGTCTCATCCAGTAACGGAAAATGGGAGAACAGAGAATTTGAAAAATTGCAGTCATGTACGGAATGGTGGAAGGCAATGAAGAATCTTGAGACTCAACAATGGAGGACGCAGAGTTATATGAAGAGATGAAAATTTTGGTATCGAGAATGAATGATGATGGTGCAAGCAAAGACTGAGAATGAGGTTTTGTGATCTAGGGCAATAGAGACAGAACAAAAATTATAGGTGGAGGCAAAGATGGTGGAGAAATTGGTTGGGGTAGTTGGATCAATTTGGAGTTTTAAAAACCTATTAAATACTGTCTTAGGAGGTTTTACTTTGTTTTAGGGTACTAATCTAATTTGTTGCTTTTTTAGAGTAGAGGGCCTAATTTCCTCTTTAGGATTTCTGATTCATTTGTTCACGTAATTCCATTCCTGTAACCCCACCATTCCTTTGCAAACCATTTCAAAGAATTTCCAAAAATCAAAAATTAAAATCCCTAAATCTTTACCTTGTCCCTACCCATAGCCGCCGGCCGAATGGAACCGCTGATTGTCGACTCACTGTTGGCCCTTGAGTGACGGACTCTCACCGATTCATCGCCTCACGCCTGGCTGTCAACTTGGGTTAGGTTTTACGGTAAGCAATCTGCGTTATTATGTTGAAATTTCTAGGTGCTAGCAATTTCTTGGGGAAAGATGACCTGATTATAATGGACCTCGACGGTTTGCCTTTATGTTATAATTGCTTGCTGCATTACAATTGCGTTCTGGTTGTTGAGTAGTTAACATAATGTTGTCAAAAACTATGCTTCGCCACTATTTCTCTTTGCTAGTTAGTTCAGAAATTACAAATAGGCATAATCCTGTGTTGCTATGGAACTGTGGGCGAGAAATCTTAGATGTTTCCTCACTATTTATATACTGAATCTTGTGTAAGATCTGCGTTCTTTTATTTTTATAAAATCAATGATAATTTAAATTTTATAAAAATGAATAAGTTGAGTCTCTTGTAAGTTTGATCGTGACAATACTGTCTCTACTGGGAAAATTTTATTGTGCTTCCATGTTTATTTAAAATTTCTTCATCTTTGTGCGAGATGGGTACCATGGACTTCTCACTTTACCTCTATTGGGAATATCACCCTTGCTATTAATCTGATCAGGGAATCCTATCCTTAATACCAATTTGGCGTAAAATGACATTTTGTTGTGAAATTTTGGCCTCCGACGAATTGGTGTAATGAAGTGTTGCATGCACCAAATCAGGTGCGATGATGTTCATTTGGTGTAATATAGAGTTTTTATTTATTTATTTTGGGCTTCATTTTATACTACAAAAAAATTTTATTTTGTTGCTTTACGTGCTAGTTAATTTTATTAGTGAGTTTGACAAATGGAATTCTTTTTTAATAAAATCAATTAATGGTATTGAAGCATTTATTTATTTAAAGTGGAAATATAACTGAGTGTGAGTAAATGCAATTGATGGGATTGAAATTATTATTATTATTATTTTCTTGCGTGTGGTTGCACCAAACATAGTTAATGTGTTGAATTATGAATTAAAGTTGAATGAGAAGCACCGAAATGTGCATGTGCTTTTACTAAAATTGGGAGATTGAAAATTGAAAAAGATCTCCAACTAGTTGAGTATGCTTTGCATAAATACTTTGGTGGAAAATTGCATTTACTATTTATTAATTTATTGCTTTTCTTTAAGAATGGGATTAAACAGTAAATGAACCGTTTAATGATTTAGTTGATCTCTCTCAATAAAGGATTAAAATTACTTAATTAAGGTTGATTAATTAAGATTTGATTATTATGTTGACGAGGAAACGTCTTTTCAGCTAGATAATGACATTCAAATATTTCTTGATTTGACTGATAAATAAACATTAGTCTAATATCATATGCTTGAAAATTATGCAAAACCTGGACAAGTTTTAGAGAAGAAATTTGGGAAGTCTATTCTTTTTGGAAAAATGTGGACAATATTTCTCTATCCAACTATACTCATGGACGTCTTCTAAGCTTTGGTTTTTTCACTTTTAAATTGTTGGACAGTAGGAAATCTTTGTCATTTTTAAGCCAATTGTTAATATTAATATTTATTTATGCAGAATTAGTAATTCTTAGTTTTTTGGGATTTTTTTGTTTAATTGTAGGTGAAGCATTTTGATTCTTAGAACTACTGTGCTACTTTTTTTTTGTCTATGTTGCCCTGTCGACTTAACGATTATTGTTGTAAAATTTTATTTTGATTGTCGTTAGAGCAATATCACTGATTGATTGATTTATTTGGCAAGGTGTACATGCAAACGCATACTTCTTCTTTGCCAAAGGAGAATTGCTTTTATACCTAAGATATATTGCGGCAATTTTCTTCTTTCTACTATTTCACCGTTGTCCTGTTGATATCTGTTAGTTGGAACTTAATCCTGCACGTCTAGTTTTTGAATATTGCGATGTTCAGTGTTGGATAGTAGCTTTGCGTATGATGGACAAAGAGTGGTTGCACTTATCAAAGTTATCATCTGAAATTAGATCTTATAAACCTAGTTACCAAATGAAAATAATTTCAATGTATAATGATGATAAATATATACTCGTAGATTTTCAAGACCATATAGCGATGGAGCACATAATTTTATTGAACGAGCTCATAAAAAATGCAATTCAGAAATGATAGTATGTCCTTGTGTTAAGTGTAGGAATCAAATGCATCATCATTATGATACAGTCTATGAACATTTAGAAATGATAGTATGTCCTTGTGTTAAGTGTAGGAACATTTGGTTCAATTAAGCATAATTTGATTTATTAGTTATATCACTTGCTAGTATTTGATTTGAGTTCCATAAGTGCAGAAAAGGATTGAAGATTGTGCCACATCAATTTTCGATATGCTTGCCAAAGATTCCATCTGTGATGATGCTATCACTTGAGTTTTAGGTCCTGAACATCATGGGAGACTTAGGGGACTCGGATTTGGAGTTGTACCATCAAAGGTGGATGGACAAATACAAAGTAGGGGAAGAGTTAGAGAACTTGAAAGCCAATTACAGATTCAAGCACAAAGGGTGGGGGCATTAGAAGAAAAAATGGAAGCATTTATCAAATTTTCTCAGCAGGCTATAAGTAGTTATTTTTTATATATTTCATGATTATATAGCTTTATATAGCCAATTACATGAATAATAATTTTGTAATTTTTGTATCATTATACAGAATGTGGAGGATAGAAATTCAAATGCTTTTACTCAGGTTTCCGTTTCCTATATTATTAAATGTTTATTTAATATATATTCAGTTTGTAGCATTCTAATTTTAAAAAGAATACTTTCTGTTTATTATGAATTTGTAGTCACACCAAGGAAGTACTACCCCCAAGACAAATGCAAGATGTCAACTGTTACATTGGTACATGTTTGAGGAGGAATAAGTCGTCGCAGAAGGGAAGATTGCCACAACAGACCCAAGTGCAAAGGTGCATCACTCGCCACTCGATCGAGACTGTTGAATGGTTTGGCTTGAGGAAGTCTATATGGGTAATTTGACTTCATACAGACCCACAGATGAATTTCGCACTCTTAGTGAAGCCATGGGAAGTAGTGTTGCTTGGCCAAAGAGTAGTATTAGACATATTAATTAAGGTATATTTTCTAGATTTATAACATATGCGCATTCTATTTATGTTTTCTTTCCATCTCAAATAGTATTTAGTGTTGGTTGGTTGGTACATACGAAGTGGTTTCATGTAATTGGTTGGTTGGTTAGTGAGATTTTGGCAGTGATGATTAATATGTTACTTGACTTAATTCTTAGGTTTCATTCAATAAGTTTTTTTATTATTGAATGGTTGAAACATGATTTCATGCTGAGGCTAGAATTCTTGCAGTGAGTAATTTTTTAATGTGTGGGCAACATGATTTTGTGCTAAGCCTGAAATGCCTTTGTGATTGTCTTAATTTTTCACAATTAAGTATGTCTCATTGAAAAGGAGAAGTTTTGCTATTTGAATGTTTATTTGTTATTTAGTGGTTGTTGGCTAAAAACACTTCTACAGATCTCGTTGATTGCAGGCCGATCTTTCTCCAACAACAAGTTTCTTTTTCAAGTGAGATTGATGCAAGGCTCGTTGAATAGAGATTGTTCCATTGGTAATGGTATTGATTAAGTAACATGAGACGGTTTCAAGATTAAGTTTCGATTTTTGTAGTTTCCTAATTACATTTTGGTAGTACATGTTTGGAGACTTTTAATTTAATTTTGGAAAAGATTATGTGTTGAATATTTTACAAAATTAATGAGTGCATGTTTCTTAGTTTATTATTTTGGTGGTACATGTTTGTTAGTTTTGAATGACTTATTTGATCAAATAACATGATTTTTAGTACCGTTTTAAGCATAGATAAAAAAAATGTGGCCTATCTATTGCAACGTTGGGAAGATGTTGCAATAGCTTGTCTCTCGCAATGTTTGGCAAATGTTGCAAAAGTCTATCTATTGCAACGTTTGTCAAAAGTTGCAATAGAAACGTTGCAATCGATAGGCTTTTGCAACGTTTGGCAAACATTACAATAGATATGCTTTTGCAATGTTCATTAAACGCCGTAAAAACTCTTACCTCAACAGCAATATCAAGCTTTGCAATATATGCTTAAACGCTGCAAATGACTTTTTTGCAACGTTTTTTGGCTGTTGCAATAGCCCTTTTTTGGTGTAGTGTCACGATTATTACTGATACAACGAACTCATACGTTTGTGGGATTTTGACGAACATCTATCATTTGTAAAACAGATAATACATGTAGATTGGGAAGCCAATTGTCATTAATTAATTCGAATAATAGATACGTTTTTAACTTGAGTGACATATTAATTGTTTTCTAAATTAGGTTTAGCAATGGATACAGAAAATGAAAGAGAAGAATAATATAGAAAGAAAAAGCATGTAGTCCTTTACTGCAACATCTCTATGTTATATGGTCCCGTTGAGCTAAATTTGAAAAGTGAGTATAGCGGAAAATCAGTACAAGTTATTTTTCAACCTTTCTGGTGGAGATCAAGATTCGATCTCTCTATTATGACTATGGTTTATACTTTATTGGATTGCAACTCAATCTTTGTGAAATTTATGTCCGGTTAGAATTTTATTGTATTTGCACGTGCATTGTCGAGGTTGTTGCTCCTACTCGTGCTTCTAATTTTCCTTAAGTTGAATTACTATATTCTCATTATTGATTAATAATATCGGAGATTTTTGGATGGAATAAGACTTAAACGTTTTACTGCTCCCTTTGGGGAGGTTTTCCATGTTCAAAAATCAGTATTTTGATTGTTTGCGGCGATATTGTGGTTAGATATGGAAACAAGAGGGAGGAATGATTTTTTTATTTTATTTTTTGTTGTATTATCACAAAATTTTTTTATTTTTAAATTTTTTTGGATTGCTTGTTTTTTTTCTCAACAAACTGATATCGAGCTAGGTTGTTGTGGAATTGTTGTCTTGCGTTAAAAATGGAGGCTAATACTAAGGGAATGGTTCTATTAAAAATTATCGTATTTTGTGAAGGAAATGAAGATCTTTACTATAAAGATTATTCTACCAATATTATCTAGTGTTACCAAAAAATTTATGTCTAGTTCCTTAAAATTGAGTTTTTGTTATAATTTAGATAGAAAATAGAGAAAAATTAGAGAGAATCAATATATTTATTTATATGTTATTGATACAAAAGTTTTATATTTATATAAGTAAGAATTATGGTTGAAGAGGTACAATAGTAATTCAATAATTAGTATTTAATTTACAACATATCCCATTGAATGCAAGTTAGTAGTTACACATATTATACATTGCTTTAAAAAAAAAAAAAATGAAAAAAAACCACTACCAAGCCAAGGGAAAAACTATAATTTCATATAAGGAATTTTGTTACACTTCTTAAGAAATGGTTCTATTATCATGTTTTAAGAGGAAGCAGTGTTCTAAAATGCACGTATATACAAAGAGGAAAAAAAGAAAAAAAAAAAAGAAAAAAAAGCAATTAATGACGTTAAATAAGGCAAAACTTAAAATATTTGCTAGTGTTAAATAAGGCAAAACTTAAGTCCAGTAAAAAATAGAGTATTTAAAATTGCGTCTTTGATACATAATGTAAGTCGCAATGTCGGAAGCAGATGGAGTGGTATAGCCATTAACAAAATATAACTTTACTTTAAGTCGTGTGAACAACTTGAAATTTTTCTTAATAGTTACTAGCCACGGTAATTTGCTCGATGGATTTACGAAGATACTTTATTGTACAGTTAGGATTAAGTTACATAACCCTCCTACAGCCTTCATTAAGCTGTGTTTGACTTGTGGGGGGGTGGGGGGTGGGGGAGTAATTTTTAGTTTTTTTGGTCTACACGAATACAATAAGACTATCAAGTGCACAATTTTATTTTTACTGCAAATACAATGATACAAAATCTCAAGTACAAATACATTTGACATTTTTTTTTTGACAACGATAGGATCAGATTTAACATTTTATTGCAAGGACCACAAGAAGTAGATTAGAGAGAGGGAGAATGAGGAGTGGCCATCACCAGTAGAGGAAGCTTTTTATGGACAGTGAGTCCTGGGTGTTCACTCATGTCCAAATCCTTTTCCATTACTCCAATTGGCAATGTGAAGTTGAAATTAAGCATTAATTTTGCTAACGCAAGCTCATCAACCGCCATGGCAAATGGAATACCAGGGCAGCCTCTCCGACCAGAGCCGAATGGAATGTACTCAAAGTTAAGACCTTTGAAGTCAATTCCGGTGTTAAGAAACCTTTCTGGATTAAAATCATCGGGATTTTTCCACAACACCGGATCTCTTGCTATTGCCCATGCATTGATGATCACTCGAGTTCCAACTCCAATGTCATATCCCATTACTTTGCTGTCTTGCATTGCTTCTCGAGGGAGCAGTAAAGGAAGTGGAGGATGTACTCTTAGGCTCTCTTTGATCACTGCCTTTAAATAGGGCATTTTCTCTAGATCATCTTCGGTTATTTCTAATTTATGTCTGGCTACTTGTCTTACCTCGTTCTGCAGTTTCTTCATGATTTTTGGATGCCTTAAAAGCTCTGTCAGTGCCCAATCTAAAGCGGTAGATGTTGTATCCGTCCCTGCACCGAACATATCCTGTACAAGGAATGGCTACTGCATTAAAATGGGCAGTACTAAATAAGTTCTGTTCAGTTTTTAGTAGCTATTTTACTTGAATCTCATTTTTTACCATTCACTCTTCTTTGTTGAAGCCATTCTATTTTTTCGTGAATAAGTGAAAGAAAATAACATATGCTTACGCAAATAAATAAAGGAAGAGAGGAGAGATTCTTACAAAAATGACAGCTTTGATGATATCAGTTTTAATATCGAAACTCGACTTGTTTTCTTTCTGAATTTCGAGCAATATGTCCACAAGATCTGGTTCTCCAACTTCATTGCTTATGTTTCTCTCTCCTTTCTTTCGACCTCTGTGCTCTTCAATTACTCTTTCCCAAAATTCATCAAAGAGTTTGGCCAATTTCGCTACTCTCGCATCAAAACCATTGACTCGATTAATCCAACTAAGCCCAGGAATATAATCTCCTGGATTAAATGTACCTGATAACTCCCCAAACTCCTTATACATTGACTCCAATTTCTTGATTGTGTCTTCTCCACTATATTTCCATCCCGCGGCCACTCTACATACAATGCAATTAGCAAGCGAGACCAGCATATCGCTCAAGTTTATCAATGATGAAGATGAATTTCTAATCTTATCGATCATTAGGGACGTTTCTTCTTCTCTTATATAACGAAAAGATTGAACCCGCTTGTTACTCAAAAGCTGAAGCACACATATACTTCTCACTTGCCTCCAGTGCTCACCATAAGAAGAAAAAGCTATGTCCTTAGACCCATAAGCAACTTCATCAGGAAGTCTAGATTTCGGCCTGTTTGAGAAAATCAGGTCCTGATTTTTCATTATTTCCCGAGCTCCATCAGCAGACGAGACAATAACTGCTGGCACCCGTCCGAGATGAACCAGCATTAGTGGACCATAGCGTTTGGATAATGCTTGCAGCGAGCGATGGGGGTATAAGCCGACTTGATGAAGATTTCCAATCACGGGAAACTTTGGTGGAGATGGAGGTAACCTTTTCCCGGCTGCTGAACCTGTAATGAGTTGCCATTTGAAAAAGAAAATGATGAACAAAATGAAGGAAACAAAAGGAACCATTAAATATGCAGAAGAAATCATATTCAATCTTTTGCGGAGGAAGTTAACAAGATAGTCCTCTGATGATCGACTATTTAATATGACTCAATTTTCATTGAAAGCCACAAAAATATTGAAACACCAAAATTAACTGAAGACTGAAATTATAATTTTGGAGTTGTCATATTCGTCTTTCTGAATGTTTCTCTTCCTGCGAAAGGACAAATTTTTGGTTGTGTGATTTTTTCTCATTTATATTCATTTATTATTAATCTTTACATTACGGGTAATATTTTTAAATTGTTTTTAATATTTCTTTGAGATTGCCTGCAACGGACGTTTCTTAAATGTCTTGATTGGACCTCAGTAGGTCCACCTCCTGATTATCAACATTGATAATAAATGCATATTGACATCTACGGCACGTGCATTATTGTTACAACCACAAGTCTTTAATTTGTTGCAATTAAGCCGCTATTTGACAATCATTATTTGGAGAAAATAGAAATTTGAGTAGTAATTTTTAGGAGAATATGTAATTAAAAAGTGGGAAAATGTTTTGAATTTACGTGCAAAAGATTTCATTGTATGAACGTATGATTGAAAATGAGTACATAAGAAAAAGAGTTTCAAAATAACGATTGTCAAACAGGGACTAGGTAGAAGCCTACTATGTGTATGGGGAAAAAATATGCGGGCATCTTCCATCTCACATGTGGCAATTTTTTATTGTAAGGTAATAAATAAATAAATAATACCCACCATACAGGTGCTACCATCACAGTATCAGTACGAGTTTTGTGAGCAATTTCCCATGCACAGGGGAATTGCTCACTAAGGCATCACTAGTATGCGGAAAGCAAAGTATGAGAAAATAATTGACTTAAAAATATTTGGATAATAACCAATTCGAGAGGAATGTTGAGATTCTTGAGAGATTTCTGCTATCTGCATCGAGCAAAAACAAAGAATTTATGAGCTTCAATAAAAAATTGAAAATACATTGAGAGAGAAAAAAAATACAGTGACCAACCTGACATTATAATTTTGGAGTTGTCATATTCATGTTTTTGAAGTCGTTCAAATTATATTAATTGTTCACACAGGAAATATATACACAGATTTATGTATAGACATATATTTACCCGCCTTTGTTTTTCTGTTACATTATGTGATATTATTGGTTTGAAGTGCATAAATATGTCTTTAGCATTTATTTATTATGAATAAAGCTATTTGCAATTGCTCGCTATTGTAATCGTCCTTAGTGACATACATGTGACGGTTAGTGAATTAATGCACATCAAATCACTAGCTAACCGCTATATGTATGTCACGTAGGACGAATATGATAGTGAGCAACTGTAAATATCATTACTCATTAATTATAGGATCGAGCCAAATAAATATTATTGTGACAAAAATATATAAAACACATAATATTTTACTTGGGTTGCGTGATACATACATTTGTAAATCTCTGATAAGAACTCAATCAGTCCCTACTAGTGTCCAATAGTGTTACAACATTATTGTTATTATTTTTTTTTGTTTTTCAATAAATATTTATTATTTATGTTCATTTTAAATATGTATTACGTCTTTAATTATAAGCCTGCAAATAAGTGCATTCCGACGCTTGATGATAATATGAGTTGAGTGTTTGCAAAGAGAAACATGTATAGGTATGACTCATGTCTTGATCGAGAATTAGTTTATACGAAAAAGTAAACACAACTTGCCACATATGACAAGGTAGTATGGTTCAAATACTCTATCAATTGGGATGCACAATTTATCTTGATCGTGGTAAAAGTTCCGCTATGAGTATCAAGACTAGTACAATGAATATATCTTGGAGTGTATTTGCAAAAGAACCTTATGTAAATTAATTTCTAAATCATAGTCCTACACAATAAATTAATAAACTCTTGACTATTTTATGGATTACCTAAATCGACCACTAAGTAGTACTTGGTATTTGTGAACTTGATACTATTTGATGTATCAATGAGTGAGTTATAATTATACGATTAGATACCATGGTACAATTGGAGTTGAATGAATCAAAGTAGTGAGCATGTATTCAAGTTTGAAAATTGTCACTTTGTTCTGGGTTAACAAATCCATTTATGTTTTTCTTGGAAAGTAGTTTAAATTTGATCTCATTATTTGGGAAAGTCTGAATCATTATTCCATGATTGTATGACAAAGAAATTGCTAACGAAAAATGAGCTTAAGTGGAAAAATAAATTAGAAGGCCTAAATGGCCATTCTAGCCCATATCTAAATATTCGACATGTTATATGTGAGGGGGGTAAGACATAAAGTTGATATTTTAAGAGGATTTAATTGTAGTGAATTGAAATAATGTTATTTTAGTGATTATATAATTTAAGATCTTTGTTTGGAGTGCGTAGAAAATAACCTACACATAGTTCTCTTTGCCCATGCATATTTGTAAACAATAATAATCTTTAGATTTTGATTGCGCTACAAGAATCAAATAAGAAAATATCTTCAACCAAATAAATGACTCAATTGCCAAATATTTAGACTTCTTAGGAATTATTAAACAGTTAAAAATAAGAGTACTGCCATGTTAGTTTTTTGTCATCCATGATGTTAAATTCCTTTAGTATGAATGATGTCACTAATATCCAATGATGTTGAATCGTTGATTCACTATTGCCAAACTTGTATGGAAGTCATTCGCGCCATAAATATTTTTTTTCCCAATGTGATTGCTAAGATTGAGAAAGTAGGAAAATGTGAACATGTGGCCAAGGTTGACAGGATTTGAAAAGGTAAACAGTTGGTTGCAGTTGAAGAAGAGGACATGCCTGAAGTGAAGCTTGCATTTATTAATTTTAAAAAGATTATTAAAGTGAGGTTGCATTCAATTCATATGGTTCTTCTTCTGTTTTTTGGACATCATACAACCATTGAAATTTCAAAATTAGTTGGACAACAATTGAAATTTTAATTTCGGTTTGTTTTATGTGTTCTTATTTGTTGCATGGTCCAAACATGTTTTATGAAATGCATGTTCTTGCCAACACATGTGCAAAGCCTTCTTGTGGGCACATCAAACAGATTAAGCAATGGATCAAACATGCATCCAAAGGTCCGTAGTCAATTTCTGATTATATGCAGCCTATTAAAAGTCGATCGAATGAACTCATGGCACTTGGTAAACCCATGGGTCATGAGTATCTCATTGAGAAAATTCTAGATGGTCATGACAATGATTGTTGATATTATTAATGGAGACGCACCAAATTCATTTGATGAACTACATGAGAAGTTGATCACCACTCCGTGCTTCCGCTAATTCGGTTAATTATTGATTCAATCCGGGACACCTTGGCAACTGTACTCAGCGCCCACTATGGATGCACAACTCTCCCCATTGGCCAATGCTCTTGTCTCAATACCCACCACTCATCCTCCACCTCGGCCATTCTTAGGTCGTTTTCAGTGGTGTCGAGTTTAAGGACACTGTTTCACAGTGCCTTTTATTTCATCTAATGAATCCAAACTAGGGCCAACCTTGCAACCGCTAATCCCAATGACAATTCTAGTTGGCTTCTTGATAGAGGAGCTTCACACCATGTTACCACCAACCTGAGTAATCTATCGATTCATACTCCTTATGACAAATCTAATGACATAGTGATTGGAGATGGCATAGGTATCCCCATCACCCACATTGGTTCAAAATTTCTCTACAAACCAATCTTATACATTTTCCTTAAATAATGTTCTTTGTGTTCCAAATATGAAAAATAATCTCATCCCTATCTCTCAATTTTGTCAATCTAATAATACATCTATTGAGTTCTTAGCAAATTCTTTTCTTGTGAAGGAACTCCGTATGGGGGCAACACTTTTGCAGGGTCGGACTAAGGACGGTGTATATATATGAGTGCCTAATTTCCTACGTTAAGTCCTCTCCAATAGTGACTTTCTCAAGTGTCAAAACCACTTCTTTTATGTGGCATCATCGTCCAAGACACCCATTACCCTCTATTTTTAAGAATATTGCCTCAAACTTTCATTTAGAATTATCGAGTCCTCCCAATTTAAATTTCAATTATAATTCCTGTCAATGCAATGAAAGTCTCAAGTTACCATTCTCCATTTCTTCAATAGTTACATCCTGCCCTCTTGGAGTTATATTTTCTTATATGTGGACTTCTCGTATTTTCTCTATTGATGATTTCAAATACTAGGTGATCTTTGTTTACCGCTTCACTAAATACATATAGCTATATCCACTTCAACGAAAATCTCATGTACATGATGTTTTTGTCAGATTCAAATCCCTTGTAGAAAATTTCTTCAATCGAAACGTCATTACACCTTATTCGAACAATGGCGGGGAAACGAATGGCATTACCCATTTAACTTCCCACCCTTATACATCTAAACATAATGGATACTCTGAATGTCATCATTGTCATATTGTTGAAACCGGTCTATCTCTTCGCTCTCATGCATCTCTATCTCTCTTTTATTGATCTTGTGCTTTCACTATAGCAGTTTATCTCATCAATCGTCTACCCACTCCAACACTTCAATTCCTCTCTCCCTATGCCAAACATTTCGATGCTTCTCCCAATTACTCTAAACTACGTAGTTTCGAATGTCTATGTTCTCTTTGGCTTCGACCATACTCTTCCCCACAAACTTGCTCCTCGTTCATCTCCTTGTGTATATTTGTAGGTTATTCCTGATAACATATAATCTATTCTATAGAATCAAACACATATAGAGAATCAAAGAAGGAAAAAGAAGAAGAGAAAAACAATTGAGCCACTTAAGGAATTAGGGTTTACAATGATTTAATATATTACAAAGAGACCTAAGCTAGTAAGGAAACTAAGCTAATAAGGAAACGAAATATTAATTAAATAATTAAACAAATAAATATATTATTATCTCCCTTCAAACTCACGATGCTGAAGCAAGAAGCAGTGAGAGTTTGTCACGGAAGAAGCAAAAACGATGAACCGGATGAGACTTAGTGAAGAAGTTAGCAAGCTGCAATGATGAAGAAACAAAAGGTAGGGAAATGGCGCCAATCTGCAAATGATGACGAACCAGATGACAATTAATCTCAATATTCTTTGTGCGTTCATGGAATACGGAATTATGAGATATCTGAATAGCACTGGTATTATCACAATACATAGGGGTTGGAAAAGAATGAGG